GACTCTCCAGCTTTCGAATATACCAAGCTTTGGCGGCCATTTTCTCGCTAATTTTACCTCTTAAATCAGGTGACCCCCACCTCATTCAATCCAAAATATCTCCACTTCTATTGAAGATGGATGGGTAATATTTTCACTGAAAGCAAGACAAATGAACAAGCTTTAAGATGATACCAATAACTCAATATGCCCAAAAATTGACGAGAGCCTGATTCCACCGCGCTGCCTCACATTTTCATTTTTTCCAAAGAATGATGTGGGTGGATGGATCACACAAACATGATTCAGCATGAGTTATCATAATGATAATTGCTCCCCAAGAATTACAAAGAATTATTATTTTACTATGCTCAGTCAGTACCGAGTTTTGAGAAATTTGATGTTAAAAATTTTGAGTTTCACAATATTTTGTCAAGCTTTTTCTAATACAATTTTTTAAATGTCTTGATAACAACTCCAAATTATCTTATGGTTTTGATGGAGCTGATAAAACATTTGGTTTCTGACCTCATGGTCTTAGTAACTCAAAACGGCTAAAAATGTGAGAGAGAACTTTGCAATTCTAGGGAAATAAAATGTCGCACACTAGCAGAGAAATAACTTAGATCTTTCAGGTGCTTCCATTCTACCTGTCTTTATCCAGATCAACACGGGCAGAGTGAGTGAGATACAGCGCTCCTGTCGCAGAGAGAAAGATTTCATAAACTTGCCCGCTTGGGAATCCAACTCCTTTCTTGTAACTATGACAACGGACAGCTTATATAACCACTAACATCAAGTCTTGTAACTATGACAACGGACAGCTTATATAACCACTAACATCGAGTCTTGTAACTATGACAACGGACAGCTTATATAACCACTAACATCGAGACACTGGGGAATATCAGGAGACAATCACTAAAGAGCGTTAAAAAAATACATATGTTGGAATACGAGCACCAATTGCAATCACAGTACTAACACACAAACAACATCATAGTAATTACACGCAATCTTACACACAATCAACATTACAAAACTAACACATAATCAACATTACAAAAGAAACACACAATCTTATACACAATCCACATCACAAAAAAACCACACAATAATCATCACAGTACTAACACACAATCAACTTCACAAAAATAACACTCAATAATCATCACAGTAATTACACACAATCCACATCACAAAAATAACACTCAATAATCATCACAGTACTAACACACAATCAAGAAAAAAACAACAACTATCTGTATCATCTATGACTACGACTTCACAACACAAAACAATACTACAACACACAGAACAATACTACAAACACTATCACAATACTACAAACATTATCACAGAACAATACTACAAACACTATCACAGAACAATACTACAAACACTATCACAAAAAAAACAAAAAAACGTTTAATTCAGAACCAGCTGTGCAGTATGAAACATACATTTCTATTTACAAAGCAAATACTCAATAAACCATGCGGTAGAAAAAAAAAGCAACAATAGACAAATATGTAAAACATGCTCACAGACAAATATGTAAAACATGCTCACAGACAAATATGTAAAACATGCTCACAGACAAATATGTAAAACATGCTCACAGACAAATATGGAAAACATGCTCACAGACAAATTTTCGCGGTGGGAATGCATTTACAAGAGGTGTTTTATTGACTTCAAAGAATTAGAAAGACAAAAAGGAAAAGGGAACCCTCTTTGTTCCGTTGAGTCCGATTTCGTGATATGAAAATTTCACTGTAAAACATTATATCCTGTACTCAGTATGAATGGAAATATCTCTCTTTCAAAAAAAAAAAAACCCTCCATAAAAAAATTCTACAATTCAAACAGAATGGAAAAAACCAAAGCATACCTACTGAGGAGAGAGAAATAAGACAAATCCAGGCCTTATAATTTAGAGTATACCGTTCGTGGAAAGGAACTGGCCACCCTACCACAATAATTGAAGGCCCAGGAAGTTGTCTCACTAACAAGGCAATCCCCAATGTCCAGATCGGATGCGGGAACAACTTTTATACCGTTTTCATCTGGATCGCTAACAACATACCGTTTTCATATAGCAGGTTTATAAACAGGTATATAATATATCAAACACACAAAACGCAAAACATCAATGCTTTCCTTGCACTCACTGCACCAAAGAGTAATACTTTCAAGCACATTTTGACTTCATCAGCCGCACGCACGGGCAGCGTTATCACAGGCACAAAAAAAACCCAAGGGAGATCCATACAGTACACACACAACCGTCTGTTGTACAGTGTAACATATCATCAGAATCAATTTACACGGTACATTTTAATCTCCTCTCGATCTAAATCTAAGAGAGTCAAAGAGTTCTTTTGTAACACAGACTGTGTGTAGCAAAAACATAATATTATTAATATGTATACACATTTCGTATAATTTAGATATAAGCCAGTCATGCAGAGTTCCCGAAAAGCAACTCCCATAGTGCTGTGAGTGTGAGACACGTTTGGGTTTTTTTTTTCATGAGAATTAAATCAGTTCAGGGTTGTTGTGGTTTCAAGGACATCATAAAAACACAACAAAATTTGCAGACACTTGTTCACAGATAAAAATTTTAAGTAGAAACCAGTTTTCACGATAGGTAACAAAAGCTTAAACAAACAAAAATCTAATCTGAGTGAAAGAATATTCTATACAGCAAATGTTTCCCTCTCTCATCCACACACCATTATTCACTATACATTAATTAGGAGGCAGGCTGCTTTCACCCTGCCTGTCTTTACTATTAAAGCCAAGTCTGGCTGAGGGGGATACATACGACACGACAACCCAGCAGGCAGACTGAGATCACTACACGTACAATTTAAGACTTCCCCATCAAGTTGGAATTGAACTCCCGTTTTCTGTGTGCAGTGGTGAAAAGCTTTACCTTATTATACCACAGATGCCTGTCTGAGTGGGAAAAAAATCCACAACAATGAAATAGCACCTGTGAGGGACTTGACCACAGAGGCCAGACTGTCAGCGGTACCACGCCCCAAACCTACAAAGTCATGTATCTTTAAAGTTACAAAATGTTACTAGGGCAGGGAACAACTTTCCTGGCAAATTTACTTTGTATAAAATGTGTCAGAATTTTAAAAAAAGACAGATTCATGGTTGAAGAATTAGGGAACATTTATTTTTGAATGATTAGCACCAAAATTATTTTTCTTTCACCGTTGGAGTGTTTAGCAGGTTGAACAGTGTACACCTAAGACTGTTCAATAAGTTCAACAGTGCACAACCCAGGACTGTTAATTAAACATGTTAATGTTCAACAAAGCATATCAGAGGAGTGTTAACCATTTTCAACAGTGCACAACAAAGGAGTCTTAATAATTTAACAAGTTCAACAATGCACAACAGAGGACTGTCATCTCTCAGTCTCACCAAAACCACTGTGCACAGACATAGATCTACACATGTTCCAATAGAATGGTCAACCACTCATCTGGACAACAGAAACATACGTAGAGGTGAAAGTTCACACACACAAGTTCCCTTTTGATAATCATACACAGGACAACCTGACTTCCTGTCGCATCCTGACCATACATAAACCCCACAGGTTGAACAAATATTAATCTCACTACAGATGACATTACAAAAATACATCAATACTTTCATTGTTACAGGTCAACTGGAAAATACACACAAAATAACAGATACAGCCCCGCTCGCTAACCTTCTTATCGCCAGGGTCCACTTTAGCCATCAACAAGAGGCTTACATTTTTATACTTCCCACCTACATGTTGTTTTTTTTTCGTTCAATTTCAAGTGGGGCACTCAATAACACCTGTCGCTACCCGCGCGATCGCCACCTCCCACCAAAATCACCCAATCGCCCACAAGTAGGTAATATCGCTCAGGTGTCGCAAGTATTGAGATTCAGTAACCCCCCACATGAACTGTGAGGAAAAAAACGTCAAGTTCCACAACATGAGAAGCTTATACAATCATACGATGAAATCATTCTGAATAGACTGAACAAAAATGAGAAAAAGCTTGATCAGAGCTATACTACAGGTGCAGTCCTCCTACATAATAAATATTGATTTGAAATCTTTTAGAAAAAAAAATTTCAAAAGTGCACCAAGGCGTGACAAGACAACACCTATGTACTTACAATCAAACAGTTTAGAATCAGATACTCATGACTAAAAATGTAAATTATACAGCTGATTGAAAATTTTGAGACCCTTTGTGGGAGTGTATCACATTATTTGTCAAATAAGAGCTTGACAGTAGCATACAGTAACATGAGAAAAAGTGAGAGAACGAACAATAATATGTGAGGCAGCGTGGTGGAATCAGGCTCTCGTCAAAATAATCAAAGTGAACAAACTTGCATTTTTCCGCAAGTTTGTGAATTTTTATCAAATTATTGTTTTTTGGCACAACACTTTTCATGCCCATTAAAGAACTCATGTCTGTGTGGATTTTTCTGAAAAGCGTTGATCAAAGGAATAAAAAATGTAAGTCTTCAGTTACCACGGACTCTTAAGCTAAGGAAATAACTAATCTTTGGAGGCCATTTTCTCACTAATTTTACCCCTGAAAACCAGGTGACCCCCACCTCCTTCCTTTGCAAATATCTCGACTTGTATTCAAGCTAAATGGATATTTTTTGCATCCAAATAAAGACAAGTGAACAAGCTTTAAGATGATACCAATAATTTTACATGCCCAAAAATTGACAAGAGCCTGATTCCACCACGCTGCCTCACATATGTTATGTGCTGGATTTCCTCTGACCAGGGGTCAACTACCACCATCTCTTGGAACTCCTGTTCTTGAGTCAGTCATGTCCTTAAACCAGGCTCCTGACGAGCATCAGTCTGTAGACCCATAAAGTCGTGAAAGTTGCACAAAAACTTTAACCCTTTCATTAACGCCAATCCAAAATTTCTTAAGATACCGAGGAACATATTACAATAATTTCTGTCTGTTTAGTAATTTGCTTCCTTTTTTTTTTCAAATTGGAAAATAACAAGTGGCCAAATCATGGTTCTGATTTTGGACGTTCTCTTTTAAAAAAAAATGTTCTCAAAGCTTAAGAAATGATTTTGGTGCTTGTTGAGTGAGCTGATAAATTACCAATACATTTAATGATCATCATATATATTAAATTAAATACAATGTAAATGCAAACGTGGGACAGAAATTCATTTGTAATGGACAACATCTTCAATCCAGAGTCAAACAAGCATTTTAGAATATATAATATAGAATGATAGATAGATAGATAGATAGATAGATAGATAGATAGATAGATAGATAGATAGATAGATAGATAGATAGATAGATAATAGAAACATCAGAAGCAAAAACGAGCCCAGCTACAAGCAAGAGGATGAGACAGAACAAATGACACAAAATTGACACAAGCAAGAGGAAGAGACAAAAGAAAAAGAAAAACAAAATACGAAAAAGTGACGTAAGCAAGAGGAAGAGACAGAACAAAGAGGAAAATAAAAGATGAAAAAATTAACACAAGCAAAAGGAAGAGTCAGGACAAGGAGAAGAAACGACAAAAAAAACGACAAAAGCTCCAGATCCTGCTTTTAAAGGACCAGGCACAACATCCAATTGAAAAGCTAAAACTCCACATCTAAAAATGTCCAAATTTCCTTCTTTCCTTAGACCAATAAAACCAACATCCTCATCAATCATCCTCACGTAATTCTCTGGTAAATACATCATGATTAGGAGAGTGGGAAAGGGGTATGGGTCTCAGTCTCACCCTGGGGGGGGGGGGGGGGAGAGCTAGAATTGGTTATGAAAGATAAGGAAAAAAATAACCCAACCCACTAATATAAATTAAAAAATCCAATATCAAAAAATGAACTCATCATTGCTATTCATATTCTCTTGTTTCATCATAGTACTGAAATAGCATTGCACTTTCTAACATTCTCATAATCAAAGACTCTCTGATATGAATAAGATCATTAACATGCCACCAACAAAAGGAAAATGCGACAAAAAACAAAAAATCATAATCCTCATTAATTGTGCACCATAATTTTTTGGTTAAAATTCTTGTGTCTCATTCATGTCAACCAAGTTATGATGGACTTTTCTTGGATGCCTCAAGGGTGAACCCCCCCCCCCCTCCAAGCAAATTTCATTTTAAGTCTAAGCCTAGTCCAAAGTGCTTCAAAACGTTTCCATGAAGTGGACTGTCTACTGTTTAGTGTGGCAGGCAGATTTCCCACAGGTCTTTTGTTTAGTCGAGCCACAACAGCCGATTTGACTGAAGCCGTGATACTTCATTACCTCCTCCAACTTGTATTTCACGGACTTAATCTCCGACGCGATGTACGACCCCGTCGATCCCTGAACGTCATTACTGAGAAACGTGACGAGAACATCGCCAAAAGTCTCTCGTGATATTTCCGCTTCTGTTCCAAAGGGACGACCTTGACCCTCTTTGACCTCCTCCCACAAGCCTTTGTGTGGCCACACGAGCAAGAACAAGGTCATCATGTGTTCCGGAGATATGGTTAAACTATTACTACACTTCAGGAGCTCTGGCGAGAGCTTTGCCACCTTCCTTTTCTCCACGGACGGGGACGAACTGCAACACGAGTCGTTACAGCAGTTCATCTCGGTCTCGTGAACGGTGTGATCACTCTGCAGCAACCCGAGAGCCATCTTCTTCTCTTCCGCCAACTTGGTAGTAAAGCTGGTCTCCACGTACTGGAACGTTTCCAAAGACGATAACTCTTTCAACAACTTGTGCAAGATGCAGGATACAGTATCTCCGTCTTTCTCGTCAGATGGACAGCATTTCAGAGAGGCCGATGGGTTGGTGCCGCCCCACTGGGTACATTGCAAATTGGAACAAAACATCTTCACCGGAATCTGTCCCCGTTTCATCAGGTCCAACACGCGGTCAACGGCTTCACTCACAATCTCCGCTCCACTCACTTGTTTTGGAAGAGGTGATTTCATCCAACTAAAGAAAAAAAAAAGACGCGTAAGTGATAAATATATGTATAAATTTTGACATCTTTCCTACTTTGTAAGGCCGCTCGCCTCCAGGCCGTCACATTCCCATTTCAAAGGTACTCTTATATGTTTTCATAACTGACTGACTGG